TGCTGAACAGTAATATCACAGCGATGACGCTGTAGACTAGGAATTAAATCAATGTGCTTCCAGCACTGGATAGAAAATCGGTTTCCCCATTTAATACGTGTATCCCAGTTTTGGGGGACTGATCTTGGAGGAAAGGGTGTGTGCTACATGTGAGAAAATACAGTAACTTAAGTAGCTCTTCATGAAATTGCTATAGCATCCTGGGATTTGCCTGTCTTGGAAACAAGTGGTGAGTGTCTTATTGGAAAAGGAGATTCTAACCTTGCCAAATGCATAAAGCTTCCTCTCCTAAATCTGTGGGATATTGGATCTTAATCCTGTTATCTGAATATTCTCTGTCCTGGACCTTACCCCTGTATAATTTTAGGAAAGGGAGTAAGGAACAAGCACTTTTTTCCAGTGGTCTGATTTTTTCCCCCTTGTTAACTGGTGACTGTTTGAAGCTGTTCCAAGTTTGGTATGTTGGATGAAGTTAAACAGAGATGGACTGGTGTGTAAAATGCAGCAGAGACAGTAAAAATACACAATAAATATCATTTATAGCAGTAGCTGGCAACCTTTTTAGGCTGTGGGCTGGACTGTGGCAGTTTGGGTCAGAGGCAGGTGGGCAGGCAGGTGCTACAACTCAGCCACCACCACTGTTTCTCCCCATAGCAGCATGGGAAAGTGACTGCTGTTACAGCTTTCTGCTGCTGAATGCCACCAAAGCTCTATGCAAACAAGCTAGGTCTGGCCTGTGGGCCATAGGTTGCTGACCCTTGATTTATATAATAACTCTGCAGTTTATTACATGGTTTTGCAACTCATTGGGAGGATGTACCATTGCTGCTACCCACCTGTTTTAGTAATACTTGTACAGTAGAGGCATACACATGCATGCACACACACACAAACATATGCATGCACACCAGGGAAAAATTAATTAGTAATTATAAAATGCAGATTTTAGAAAATAAAAAATTATGTGAAAAGTATTAATCCTGAGGTTCCTGTACACAAAATTGATGCAGCCTTATATTACATTTATTAGGCAATTAGAAAGAATTAGACAAAGGTGATTTTTGAAAAAGTGACAACAAAGAATCTGTAAAATTGTTTGTTTAATATAACTCTTGACTTTTTTCTTACTGCTGTTAACACACTGTCCATAAACAGGCATTACATTTGTACCAGGAAAAAATCCTTTCTCCAGCACAAAAAGCTGTACAGACATTGAAGCACTTTCTTGCAGAAGAGAATTGGCTCCTCCACAAGAAACTGAGATTGATTCCTACAAGACAGATCTCTCTCTTCCTGTACAGTTGTCTACTTACCTTCGGTGTGGAGGATGGACACCCAGTATCCCACAATCCTCTGCTCTCTCTCCCTCCCTTTAAAAGCGAGGGAGGGACAGCCCTGGCTTCCTGATAGCCTGCCCTGTCCCTGTGGGCCCCAGCAGGGAAATCCCGAGTGCCCTTCTGGCCAATCAGCTGATTGGGGGGTGGGAGGAGGAAATTTTCTCTGCAGGGTGATTTAAAGGCTGACAGAGTGGGGAGGTGTTCCTGGTCCCGCAGACTTAAAATTCTGATGTGTGACACAAAACCTGCCCATTTGGGAATATGTGCCACCCAACCTGCCCATCATGTTCATTTAAAAGCCAGAGAGTCAGGAACTGGGTCAGAGAGGCTCTTCCCAGCTGCACTTCCCCACACCTCCAGCTTTAAATCATCCCATGTGCCTGCATACATTGAATTTTGAAAACAGAGGCTGCCTATTAATAGCCTGCCCTCTTCGCAGGCAGGGAGGAGGGCAGGCTGTCAAGAAGTGTGCTTCCCTAAGGGCAAGAGAGCAGCCATCTAGTGCCCCCTGCCTAGGGAGTTCATTAAGGGGCTAGAACACGTGTATGCTGCAGCTCCCAGGCTATTTTTCTTCTCTGAAATTCTTACCACTAGAAACGAACACCTGTCCATGGCCACTAACAGTCAGAACACATAGACTGAAATCTTCACATACTGAAGCCAATGGCAAACCTCCCAGTGATTTCAGTGGGGTCAGCAGTTTGCCTAAAGAGACAATTTCCATTTGATCTTGAGAGACTTAATTAAAAGCAAACCTGGAAAAGA